GACACTCCTCATTCCTCGACGTGGAATTTTAGCTACTCTATTTAACAACTTCGAACAAAGAAAGAAATACACGCTATCTAAACCGGCTATAACGTGAAAGTGATATGTTTTGTGACCCCAGAAAAGCTGCAAAGGACGCTGAGATTTCTTGAACTTTTTAGCTCTTTCCACGTGCAAGACTGATCGCAAATACGAATATTAACTTTTAAAAATTATTTGTAATTCAAATGAGTTTACGGAATTTGAAAGGTGTGTCGAAAATTTGAATAGCTCTTTAGTCACCATGGGATGGCCAGATGCTAGCTAATTTTGAACTTGGTAAATTTCGAAGAGTGTAAATATCGTCGTCGAAATACTTCGTAAAACTCGCTGTATCCTGCATCAATAAACGAGATGCCCGCTCCTGATGCTGTGTTTGTGTTCATTAAGATTAGTTTAAAATGTTTTAGAATCGTTTCAGGGTGATTAGAGTAAAACTTAAATGACTAGTCGAGAGTTAGCCAGCGCACAAAAACTAGAATCTAAAAGTAAACCATATGCATTTTTTGCAACAGACACAAGATGAGGTTTCAAATCGACGTTTTGCAAGTATTATAACTGAACCAACTGCGTGTTCAAATTGTGACTGAAGATTCACGCCCCAGGCCGCGAAATGGCTCAGAAGGTGATTGCGTGACAAAAAGAAAGGTCCAATCAAAAGAAATCTGTAAAACCTCAAAACATGGTGAGTCAGCTACCAAAATGTGTAACATATCGCCATATGGTAGCCAAATAGCGAAATACTCACTACACAATCGAAGTGCGCCAGTTATTTTAGGAAACTATCGAATAGCGGTGAAATCTAAGAGTGAGCAGGATACTACAGAAACAAAGGGAAAAAAAGAAAATTCTAAAAGTTCGCAAGATACAAACAAAACAATCGAGTAAAGGAGAATTCTTAGAGTGCAATTTATTAACGAAAATAATCCAATAAAAGAGGACTCTTAAAGAGCGCCAGACACTGACGAAACAATCGGATCAAGGGGAATTCTAACACTGCGCTAGAAATTAACGAAACAATCGAGTAGAAGAGACTTCTTAAAGTGCGCAAAATACCGGTACTGAAGAAACAATGGAATAAAGGAGGGTCCGAGAGTACGGAGATAGGGAAGAAACCGACAAAAAAGAGGGGAATTTCAAAATGGCCCAATCAAACAATCGAATAAAGGAGAGTTCTCTGAGTGCCCGAGATATTGATGAAACTATCAAATAAGAGACAATTCTGCGAGATTCTAACGAAACAATCGGATAAACCAGTACTCAAAGAGTGTTCGAGAAATCAACAAAATAATCACATAAAATGAATTCTAAGAGTACACGAGATACTAACGAAAGAATCGGGTAAAGGAGTAATCTAAAAGTGCGCGAGTTACTAAAGAAACAATCGAAAAAACGGATTTCTAAGAGTGCGCGAGATCCTAACAAAACAATCGAACAAAGAAGAAATCGAAACGCTTGCCGACAAGATACTACCGAAACAGTCAAACAAAGGGAAATTCTAACAGTGAATGCAAAGAGATGAGATGCAAAGGAAACAGACGAATTAAAAGGAAAAATGTAAGAGTGCAAAACGTATTAACGAAACAATTGAAAAAAAGAAAATCCTAAAAGTGCGCGAACGATTAACAATCAATCAAATAAAGGCAACATCTTTAAATGCATGGGATATTAGGAAAACAATCTAAAAGAGAGAATTCGAAGAGTGCGCGAGATATTATAGAAACAGAGGATAAAGAGAATCCTAATATAGCCCCGTCAACACGAGCAATTTTTATATGACAATTTTCAAGTGGAAATTTTTAAGTGGCAATTTTTAAGTGGCAATTTTTAAGTGGCAATTTTTATATGCCCGTGTAGATAATGAAAAATGACCAATTTTTATGTGACAACTGCATTTGCTGAAAAGCTGGCGTGTTAGTTTTTATGTGGCAAATAAAAATTGCCACATAAAAAAATTGTCCGTGTAGA